TGTTAAAAATAAGAGTATTGTTATAAAGATAATCAATATAAAGATATGAATATGAAAAATAGATGAAAATAATAAAAAATGGGAATATGTTCTAATATATTATCAAATATAGATAAAAGAGAGTATAAAAATAAGAAATGAAAAAAGAACAGAGAATAAAGAAGTGTGAAATAATGAATTATTGATTTTTCATTAATCAAATGAAATATTAATTGTTATTATATTTTTTATTCATTAATGTAAATCTAATAATATTGATTTATCAATTAATATACATTGTTAATCATATCATTTATCTATCATATACATCATTAATTATTTTATTCTTGAAATTTCATTTATTTCATTATTCAATAATTTAATAAAAATATTAATGAATATTAGAATTGATAATAATGAATAATGAAAATATAAAATGAATATGATCAGATTAAATATAATAAATATATTTGAATAATGTTATTATTTGAATATTAAAAAGAATAGAAGTTGAAATAAATGTAATTTGAAAATATAGAATTTAATTTGATAAAGAATAAAGAAAATCAAAGAATAATTATAATAATAGAAGAAGGATAAGATTAGATACAGAAATATTAATGAAATGATATTATATTATTTATATTATTAATATTTTAAATTTGTTTATATTGTTTAAATTAAAATAATAAAATATAATCATGATTTGAAGAATATAGAAATTCTATTAATTTAAATAATATTAAAATAATGAAATAGAATTATAAAATAACAATGAATAAAATATTTATAAATGATGAAAATGATGTGATATTTCAATTCATGAAATTTGAATTATTATTAACTAATATATCTTTATTGTAATTTATGATATTTTCATCATTATTAATATATTTATAATGAGTATTGAAATCAATTTCATTAAAATATGTAACTATTACATATTTATATATTTGATTATTCTTTATTACATCATAACAAAATATGATTAATAGATTAAATAATGTTATGATTATCTTTATAATATTTTGAAATATCAATATTGATTATTTTAGATTTAATATTTCAATTAATAATTATTTATTCATACATCTTTATTAATTTGATGAATGAAATTATTTTTATATTTAATAAGATATTGTTACTGATAATTTCATATTATTAAATATATTATTTATATTTCTTATATATTCACTTCATTTATTTCATTTGATTATTATTTAATTCACTTATTTATTATTAATCATTTTCATTTTAATCATTTAATTATTTTCTTTCATTTATATGTATTTTTATTATTTCTTTTATTTCTTATTTATTGTTGTCTTTTATTATGATATTGTTTATAAATGTGTTGTGTTTTATTATGTGATTTATTTGTATTATAATGATTGATTCTATTTGAATTAATGATAAAATATTTATGATGATGAAAATGAATAAAGTGATGAGTGAAATAATTCATACAATTATTATTATAATTGTTATGATGATAGTTATTATTATGGTAATGATTAATATGATAATTAATGTATTTCTATCAATACAGATAATACTTGTTTTCATTCTTTTATTATTGAATTTTTGTTTTATTTCTTGTATTTCATTTTTATCAAAAGAAAATAAATGAAAAATATAAATAAAAATAAAACAAAAAAATAATAATTTATATATAACAATCATTACCCCTTCAATGTTATTATAATTTTATTACAACCATTTTGAAATAATAAAATTAAATGAAGAAACAATAAATTGTAATATAACATAAAGAAATACGAAATAAGTCAAATGATTTTATCTATTTTTAATTTAAATAATTTCAACTCAAGAAAAACGATAAAAATAAATAAAGAATAAATAAATTATTTTGAAATTTTACATTGATGAAAACTTTTTTGTAATGTTATTTCATGAAAACATAATTAACGATAAAAATATACTGAAATATAAAAATAAAAGTGAATAAAATATTAAAACAAATGATGTTTAAAAGAAATAACCAATCAGAAAAAGAAGTGATATTTTTAAACAAATAACCTATTTTCTAAATTGTCAATATTTAAACTACAAAATAAACTTATTATTCATCAAATGTCAAATATAAAAGTAAGATTCTTCTTAAATGGAAAATCGATTTCAGTTAAACCACTGAATTCACAAGACAATTTGAAAACAGCAAGAGAGAAATTAAAACAAAAGATATCTGGTTCTCAACAATTCCTAACAAAAGAAGGAGATTTAATTGATATAGATGATGAAGAGTACTTTACTATAAAAGAAACAATTAATGAATCAAGAATAATAAATATCAAAGAAACAGGAGATAAAAAGGAAGCAAAAATAAAATTAAATGATGAAACAATTAGCACTATTCAAGTAGATAAGAAAACAAAGATAAGTGACATCAGAAAATCAATTCAAAATATTCCAGAATCTGCACATTTCTATACAGTTGATAATGATGTAATTGAAAAAGAAGATGAAGAATCATTTTGTGTAGAAGAAAGTATTAAATAATGATGAAATTACTCTTAAAGATGAGAAAGAAAATACACTAGAAATGGTTATTGTAACTGTTGGTATATATTTGAACGAAAAACTGTTAACAAATAAACAATTAAATAAGAACATTTCTCTTTCAGATATCAGAAAGGAAATTGAAAATATAGCAGATGTTCCAACAAGTTTTGTATTTGAAAATCAAGAAGGATTTGAAATACCAGCTGATGAAGAACAGTCATATAAATTATCAGATATTCTGTATGATAACAAGATCAATATAACAACAGAAATGTTTGATACTTCATCAAATAATACTACAGTGCCTGTTAGTTCACCAAGTAATACTTTATCCCCTGTTAGCTCATTAAATACCACCACAGTCCCTGTTGGTTCACCATGTAATAGTACAGTACCTCATACTTCTACAAGTAATACTTTAGTCTCTGATAGTCACTAAATAATAATATGGTTATATCTGATATTTCATCAAATGATACTACAGATGTATCTGAACAAAATATTCCAATTAAAGGAAGTATAAGATTGAAAAGTCATGAAAAAGGAAAATTAAAAATATATTTATATCCAAATGAACAATTTGATCAAGTAGATGAGAGTGATGCGATTGCTATTTTAGTTATTGGTGAAACAGGAAGTGGTAAAACAACGATATTGAATAGTTTTGTAAATGCGGTATGTGGAATCAAGATAACAGATGATTTTAGATATATAATTATAAATGAAGATAATTTAGCACAGAGTAAAGATCAATCTAAAAGTCAAACAAGTGAAGTAACAATTTATAATATTAAAAGAACAAAAAGAACACCACCAATAAAAATAATAGATACACCTGGATTTGGAGATACAAGAGGAAAGGGTTATGATAAAGAAATTACTAATCAAATCAAAAAAGCATTTGAAACAAAAGTATTAGATTTAAATGCTATTTGTTTTGTTGAAAAATCAAGTAATGCAAGATTAACAATAAATCAACAGAAAATAATTAAAAATGTTACTGGTTTATTCGGGAAAGATGTGAAAAAGAATTTCATTGTAATGCTTACATTCTGTGATGGTGAAGACCCACAAATTACAAATACATTACAATCCAAAGACTGTATTTTCAGTACAATTATTCCAGAAATAAATGAGCCATGGTATTTAAAATTTAATAATTCAGGTATTTATGATGATAGTACTGGAGATTTATTTACACAAATGTACTGGAAAATAGGAATGAAGAACTTTGATAAATTTATAGAAAAATTAATAAAATTACCAAGAAAATCATTAAAACAATCTAGAGAAGTTTTAGAGAAAAGAGAACGTATTAAAGTCCAAATTGAAGGGCTGAGAATATCATTAAATAATGGAATATCAAAACTGAATGAAATAGAAGAGACATATGAACAACTTTATTTGAATCAGGATAAGGTTAATAAAAATAAAGATTTTACAATTGTTGTACATAAAACAAAACCAAAAAAATTTGAATTAAAAGGAGAGTATGCAACTAATTGTAAGAAATGTAAGAAAACATGTCATTATCCATGTCATGTTCCATCTCTTGTTTCATTCTTTACGATAAGGGCATGTCATTGTATTGAAAACGGACGTTGTACTGTATGTGGGTGTAGTCACTCAGATCATGAAAACGAATCATATAAATGGGATGATGAAGTTGTGACCATAAAGGAAACAGCACAAGAAGTATTTGAAAGATATAATGAAGGTAAAGAAGGTATGGCTAATGCAGAAAATCTGTTAAAAAAGTTAGAAGAAGAGTATTATGAAATCCAAATTGATTGTTATGATAAACAACAAGAAATTATAGATTGTAATAATAGATTATCAGAAATTGCATTAAATGGTAGAATTAATAGTAATAATGAATATTTAGACCAATTAATTGAAACAGAAAATGAAGGAAAGAAAAGTGGATATAAAGAAAGAATAAATGGATACAAACAACTCAAAGAAACAAATAAAATGATAGAAGATATTATGAAAAATTCAATAACAAAAAAGAGCAGAGAAGAGATTAAAGCAGAACTTGAAAGAAAAATGAACGAAATAAAAGAAAGAGAAAAATTAAAAATAGATAAATGCGGTGTTAAAAATTGTGTTATCTGCTAAAACAATGAAGCAAATGAAATGAAAGCTTTCGTTAACTGGTTTAAAATATTTTTTTAATTAAGTAATAAATATATAGTGTTCATTATTTTCCTATGTGAGTTAGATCAATACTAATATTAATTTCAATTTTTAAATGATTTAATTATTCTTTTCTTTCTTATTGTTTGATATATCATTCTTTATATTTGTTTTATAACTCTTTTTTTATTCTTTATATCTTTTTATTTTATTTATTATATATTTTATCTTATTTATCTTCTTATTTATTTATTTTATTTATTTTTTATATTTATTCATTCTTTATTCATCATTTTGTTTTAATTTATATTATAATTATTTAGAAATGAGAGAATATAATAATGAATTTGATTTTATATTTTGATTATTTCATTAATCAAATTGTTGATTATTGATTATTGTTGTTAATTTTCATTTTATTTTATTATTATTTTATTGATGATTTCATTATATTGATTGTTTATGATACAAATAAATAATTCTTATTGATTAATATCATCTAATTCATTCATTAAATGATGAAATAAATAATGTAATTTCTAGTTTATTTTAATTATTATATACTTTTTATATTAATTTATATATTATTATAATATCAAATAGAATATTTAATTTAAATAAACAAATAAATCAATGATACTTACCTGTTGTTAATTAAATTATTATAGAAATAAAATATAAAATATCATTATAGATTAAAGTGATTATATTTCATTATTTATTATTAAATTATTTATTTTATTTTCAATTTAATAAATAAAGATAATAAACAATGAAATGAAATATTTATTTAATCATTTTATTATTTATTTTGATTAGTTATTAATGATTTTATTAATATTTAATAATATTAATATCATTTTGAATATTATTTAAATAAAATATCATTATTTATCATTATTATTTATTTCTAATTAATAAAATTATTAATTAACTTCTTAATGAATAGAATTATATTATTCATTTATTTTTATTAGGGTAATTGAATTTCCAATCATTCCATTTATCAGAACACATATCAATTATTTCTTGTTCATAGTGTTTGCATAATATTCCAATCATACAGATTGAATTATTAATTCCATGACAATCCCGTGAGTGTTCATAACAAGGAATTGACATTTGTAACCCACCATTAATACCTAAAGCAGCAATAGGATCTCTTTCAGGGATTACAGCACGTGTTAATAAAGTACTATTCTTTTTCTTGAAATTAAGACCTTTTGATCCTAAATAAGTACCAGGAGGTGATATTCCAAAACTCACTATTCCTAACTCATTCCCTACAATATTTGCAATTCCTCCACCAAGAGAATGTCCAATAAGAACAAATTGTTGTTGTGGTTTTTTCTTGGTTTCATCAAGTACTACATCTTTTGCAATACGAACTAAATCATAAGCAGTACTTGGAAATGCTTTTGATCCAAAGAGTGAAAGAATATAACTTATTTTTGAAAGAACTTGTTTTGTAAACACTGGGAATACTGAAACTGACATTGTTGGAATAGATGATTCAGCAAATAATTTGAGATCATAAATTCCATCTGACTTTGAATCTGTTCCTCTGAATCCAATTACGTTGACATTTAATATATCATTATATCCTACTAAATAATGTAATAATCCATTGTCATTAATTGTAATACTTTTCCATCCTTTATTACATAGATAGTTTGTTATGTGTTTATATTTATTACTATTTAGACTTAAAGTATTTTTAGCATATGTTAAACTACTTAAACATGAATAATCAAATGGTGTAATACCATATGAATCACTTTCACATAAATGTGAATGTTCAACAACATCATTTGAAGGATCTAATATTTGTTGATAATATTTTAATTCATCGAATTGATCATCATATGATTTCCCTTCAATTATTTCATTCATTCTTGCTCTGAATGAAATATATTCATCTTCTTCATTAAACGAAGTTGTTGTTTTATTTTTTGTGTTACTCTTACTTGGTATGTATAGTACCCATATTATAAATATTATCAACACAATAGTTAATCCAGCTATGATAACCCATAAAATAATTGAAAATCTAAAATTAAATCCAAATGATTGTTTTATTATTTTGTCAGTATCATCTGTTTCTTCATTACTTTCTGTTTCTGTGTCACTGTATGTAATTGTAATATCTTTATTATCATCTTCATTATTATCTTCATTATCATCTAGTTTTTTGCTTAATGCTCTAGTTGATGGAATAAAACCAGATATAAATGAAAGAACAAATATGACCCAATACCATCCCATATTTCCATCATGCTGACTTGAATATACAGTAGTTATTATTAAACAGACAATGAATCCTATAAATAGAAATAAGAAGAAAATTTCCACAATAATTTCAACTATCATTTTTGTTTTTAAATCTGGTTTTTTACAAAAAAATGATAAACACCAATCTATGAATCTGATTACACATGATAATGGTAAAAGATATATTAATTTTATAACAAAATCTATTATGTCATCTTTAGATTTTAGATAATTTTTAACACTATAATAAATTCTGTATATAAAATCACCACAAACAATCACTACAAATGCTGCAGTAACTACAATTAATCCTATCAATAAATAACAATATCCAATAGAACTCAATACACTTGGTATTCCATGTTTTTTAGTTAAACAACAACCAACAATTAATCCAACAATCAAACCAACAACTAGTACAATAATCCCAATATGATGAACAAACACTTCAACAATACTTTTTATATCTTTAGGACAACAGATTTTATCTGATTTAATCCAAAATGTGTTTTTTCCTTTTCATCAGATTTTTCATGTACATAAAAGTACTTGAATGATTTCTTTAGATATTCTATGGAGAATAATATAAAATTATAGATGAATGTAGCCAAGAACAATGATCCATAAATCATTACATAACTATATGCTGAAGTACAGAATAAATGACCAGTAGAAACAATGAAAAGAATAAAAATTCAAATAAGTATCACCGCTGAGAAGAATAATAATTGGAATTGACATATAATGGAGATGGTTGATTTTATTAACATGAAACTGGAAAATAACTTCAAGAAAAACTTACCAATTTCTTTACATATATATTTACTTACCATTTGTGAATATTGTTTGATGTGTTGTAAACCCTTAGAATAAATACCATGAATATTTCTAAATTTAGTCATTTAATTCATCATCATAGAAAATTTACAATAGATTAATCATATTTTTGTAATACAAACATATTTACATTAATACTATTAATAAATAATCATTTCCATATTAACAATTATTATTTGAACAACGAAATGGAATTTTTATTATTGAATAGAATTATTTAATTATATAATTTAAAAAAAACATGAAAACAATCGATATATCAGATATTCATATAAACATAAAATAAATCGAAATTTCTATTATAATATTGTTTGTTAATGAGAATGTTTTTAATAAATAACATTACATTCAACAATGGTGTTTGTTATTTATAAATTAACAATAAAAATAAATAAAAAGTGTTAATAATGATTAACATTTAGTAACAGATAATTATCATGAAGTAAGTATAATAGAGAATAAAATGATTGAATTTGATATAAAGAATGATATCAAAAATAAAATAATTCAAATAACATGAATATAAATATGTTAAAATAACAATATAAATAACAATGAATATTCATTTAATTTAAAAGATAAATCAAATAAGAATTTAAAAGATAAAATAAATAAAAAGAGAATGAAAAAAGATTAGCAAAGAAAATAAAGAATGAATGATAAATAGTTATCAGTATGATAAAAAGAAAATAAATAACAACCACTATTCAATCAATGAAATAAAACAATTAAATAATGAACAAGCATAAATAAAAAGAAATAAAACAAAATATAATCAATTAAATGAAATTTTATCATCATTTTCATATTTAAATTGTTAATACTTCATTTATCTTATTATCAAATCAATAAATAAATGAATATTCAATACATTTCATAACATAACAAACTAAATAATGAAAACATTAAATAAATAAAAATGAAAATAAATCAAATTATTTAATTTTAACATTAATAAAATCATGAAACAATAATCAACAACAAATCATTGATAAATACGATTAAATGAACTGATAATAAAAATGAATAAAATAAAATAATTAATATTTTAAATTTAAAAATAAAAATAAATATAATCTCAATGTTATTAAAATAAAATAATTCACATAAATTTTAACGATAAAAATAAATAAAAAGTGGGTAAAATGAATGAGTAATTTTATTACATAATTAATTATAAAACAACAATCAATAACAAACTAATACATAAATAACAATAAATTGATAACAAATAATTTATATTTAAAATAATGAATGGTGTTTGATTTAAATTAAGAATAAAAAACATAAAAATATATCAAATGTAATGTTAATGAAAATAAAATAAAAGAAAGAGGAATTAAATTCAAACAATAATTTAATGATAAAAACAGAAAATAAAGGAAATAAAAGATAGAAGAAACATTGGACATAAATTCAGAAAGATGTAAACAATAAACATGAATAAATTAATAATTCTATTTATTACTTTTTCATTATCAAAAAAATGTAGTGAAGTTGAATTATATAAATTCATAACAGATACAGTAGATAGTGCATTTGAATGTATTGAATCAATTGAAACAACAGAAAAAGAAAACAATTCTATTATTAATGATTTAAAATATTATTTAGAAGGATGTGTATTTAAAGATATATTAAAGAATCCACCACAACCATCATTTTCAAATAATTATTATGAAAAAGTGGATATTGATGAACAACTAAATACAATAAATACAAAAACAACAAGTATGTATGAATTCTATTCTCAAATTAAAAATCTCATTATTTCAACAAGAGATTCTCATTTAAGTTTTAGAATAAGAAATGAAAATGAATTTTTTAATTTAAATGAAAATAATGAAATAACACTTTTCTATTATTTCCTTCCATTTACAACAAATATTGATAATAATAAGAAAATGTATTTAAATCCAAGGTATTACTATGGACTTAGCTTTGTGAATACACCGAATGAAATAATAAATAATCAGAATGTAGTAGTTAAAACAGTTAATGGAGAATATCCATTTAATATTATTCATGAATTTGGAAAGAAATATTCTGCTTTAAAATGTCCACATGCACAATTTACAGAAGCAAAAGATGATTTAGTTGAAGGTAGTTTGAGTTATTACCATTATCAAAAGAATATTTAAATACACTAATAAGTATTACATGGGAAAATGGAGAAAGTCTAACAGTTAATTATAAGATATATAGAGAAACAACAGATGTAACAAAAAGCAATGAAAAAATAAAACAAGGAATTAGAAAACCATTAACTGAAGAAGAAACAAAAGAAATGATCAATACAAAGAAAGCATTAGAAGAAAATGATAGAATTACCACTAAATTTATATCAAGTGATAGTAATATTTATTGTACATTTTGTGTGAATGGTGTGAACACATTAGTAGTTAAATCTTTTGATACAAGAGACACAACAACATATGAAGATACAATTACAGAATGTATTGATTTATTTGATTCTAATAATTATCCTATTCAAGTAATATTCCCAAAGAATGGAGGAGGTTATATTATTTATTCACAATGGATAGAAAAGAGATATCACCACATGATGATGTTAATTATATTAGATCAACAAGAATATCAGATTATTCAGAAACTTTATTAAAAAAGGATATGCAGTAAATTTATATGAACCAGAGACATGCCAAAGAAGAAGAGGAAAATTTATAAGTAGTGTTCCTCTTTTAAATTTATTCTCACTTGGAGAATTGTATACAAAACCAAATATTATTAAATATGGTGATGTTGAACATAAAATTACACAACCTTCAATTGAAGTTTTTCCAAAAAAGAAAATAATGAAAAATCCAAGAAAACCAACAGAAATAGTAGTTTATACAGATTCATATTGTTATTCTGCTTGTTCACTTGTTACAAAAGGATTAAAAGAATGTTGATAAGCTATTCTTGTTGGATTTGATGGTGATCCTAATGGTAAAGATGAAGAATTTGAAGTAGGGTTATCACCAACTGTTGTTATTGATGATTCTATTCCTGTAATTTCACATCTATGGATAAAATATTATGGATATAAATATTGAATAAGTTTTATTGAAACATATAGATTTAATTATGAGTATAATGAAAATATTCCTAGAGAATTTTTAACAGATATGATAGATGAAAGAGTGAATATTTATCAATTTTCAAATTATAAGATAAAAGAAATTGAAGAACAAACATTGAAAATAGTTGATAAGTATAAAGAAATTAATATAGAACATGGACATGGAGGATATGAATATGGAGATAATGGAGAATGGAGTACAAAATGTGTACTATCATATTGTGATTCAGGATATAAATTTGATTATAACAATAATAAATGTATTGAAGGAGTATGTTCAAATGGAATATCAATAAACATAATAAAGGTAGTGATGATAATTGGAATAATCACATTAATTCTCTAATTGAAGAAGGTTTAATTTAATATTTAGTTTAATAAAATAAAACAGTGAATAAAGATAAATAAAAATATAAATATTGTTTTATATTAAATATAACACTCTCTTATTTTATTTGTTATATTCATTTTAATTAAAATAAAAATGAATATTTTATAATATTTAATTGATGTCATTATAAATATAATAAGTATTAATTATTTGTTAATTATATATTCAAAATATACATTAATATAATGTATAAAAATAGTTATAATTATTCATGTTTTCATTTTCATTTATTTGAAATTATTGAAATATAAACCATAAAATCATTAAAATAAATTCAAATTATCATTTTGATTATTATTCTTCATATTCTTCATTATAATTTAATACTTTTTCTATTTTATATATTTTATGTTTAACTTTACATTCAGAACTTGTTCTTGGATTAACAATATATTTGTTATCTTCTGTAACAATAATTCATAAATATTCATTAATATCAATCTCATCAAATTGCCATTCTCTTTTCAATATTATTTTAAGTTTAAGTAAATTAATAAAAATCATTTGATATTTCTTGAACTTTTTCAAATCCAATCATTTGTTTTTTATACAATTCAATTTTATTTGTTATAGTTTGTGCATCAACAATATTATTAAATGATGAATGGAGTTTATCTAATTATTCTTGAGTAATGTTTATAGTTTTTATTGTTCTTCCAAGTGGTGTATTATTATTATATAAAGATATTTTAGATGAATTATTTTGTTTATTTGTGTTATTTGTTGGATGATTATCATTACCTCCTTGTTGTGAGTAGTTTGTTATTTTGTTTTGTGTTAACATATAATCTAATATATCTTTTATTTTAAATTGTTGTATTAATGAATAAATATCAAAAATTGAAACAGCAACATCTGATACATCTTCTACTTTCTGTATTATAACTTTACCAACTTCAGTTACTGCATCTCCACATAACTTTTTTAGTTTATTTTTTAATTCATTTATTTCTATTTTCAATTTATCTAATAAATCTTGATTGTTATCATGTTTTAAACTCTCTGTTATTTCTTTAATCCTTTCTTTTGTGAATTCAATCTATGAATATTTATTTATAAGAATCTGTGTTTCTGTATTTAATCTTTTTATAATCTTTTTATAAAATTCATTAACATTTGAATCAATAAATAATGAAGTATATTTTATGTTAAGTTAATTCCAAGAATATTTTCTGTATTTGTTAAATATAAATGTATGTATTTAATTACAAATTGATTAATCATTTTCCTATGAATTGTCATTAATTTAAGTTCTTCAAATGATTTATCACTTAAAAGTTGTTCTTG